TGTATTCACCCCATTCCCCACACTGGGAAAAATAGATTTATATCTGTTTCCTTAATTTTACTAATTAGAAAAAATATCTATCATAATGAATTGTATAAAGCATAGCAGTGCATGCCACATCAGTCATAACCATAGACAATAAATACAATATTATGCTTAGTTAATTATAACGAGCGGCACAATATATTCCAATTTGCGGCCACTCCGAGAGCCGGCTGTAATTAATACTAAGTTTGCGTAAAATCTACCGCCTCGCAGAGCAATTAGGCGATTTTTAACCATAACTCAAGGTGAAAGAGTAAAATTTCAACTGCAGACCCGAAAAAAGCTATTAAGTGCAGTCGAGAAGTTTCAGTCGAATGTGGATCTTCAAATGACTTTATTTCGCTCTCGTCCAGTTTTCACGAAGTTTTTGATAGTTCAGATAGTTAGATCAATACAATAATTCTCAATTTAAATCGACAGCCGACGGGGCTGTTATAAAAGTTTTAACGTTGTTTTATTTCTCGGTGGAAACGGGATGCGTTTATGGGAAAAACTGAATTCCGTTATATAGGTTTCCTGGATTACAGAGCGAAACCGATTTGATTACCGGTACGAAATACTTACTTTCATGTACGACCGATATTAAGCTGTGGAATGGGTTTATTGAATGGAACCGGCATCATCAGCGTTCCGTGCTGTTGCTCTACCAATTGACTACCAAATGACTCGGCAACTCAATTGATAGAGCAACAGCACGGAACGCTGACGATGCCGGTTCAAGTCCTGCCCGAGTCGAAAATATTAAATTATATAGTGCCTTCATGTGCAATAACATGTAAAAAATAATAAAGTTTTCAAACTTAAACTTATCTAAAACTACAAATTACTTAACTTCAAAGATTCAATTCTCATCGTTAACGTAAACTGTAAATTATACTTTATTGTAACAGATGAATACAGACAAGAATTATTTTCACTAGACAGAAGCATATATCATCTCAGCAAGACGCGCTGTCGATCTATATCGGCTTTCAATTCGTAAATTTTACAGACTAAAACCCGAACGTAATTTTTTGATTACCTGACACCCATTAAAATTTCGATTTCTGGACGAAATCTAAGAGTTTACTAAAACATTCTAAATTAGATACAAATGTTAGACAGACAGGCAATCGAACTAGCCCGTCAGGAGTTGCACATTTATTTATGGCTTATGTTATAGGTACTTAAAACAATTATTATCAATTAATCTTACGTAGCCAATCATTCCGGCGTTTTTTTTATTATTCTATAGATCTTAGTTATCAATTCTTGTATAATTCTAATTTTAATTTATGAATCGCAACAAAGTACAAACAAATAAATTTAAAAACGAAGCGAATTGTATCACTAATAAATAAATCTTAAGTCTTAACTTAGGGCTTATCCTCCACCAGGTCTTTCTCCGTCTGATCTTCCAATGGCTTTTAAAAGTGACTCAGTTAATAATACATTTATTCTCTTACGCTCTTACCTGTGTAGTTAATCTCGACAGCCGATCGATGGCTTCATATTACAGGTCGTGTGTGCGCTACGTAACGCAATTTGTCGTGTTCAAAATGTGATTACGTATATTGTTTTTTCTAAAGGCTGTCAGTGGGGGCACCGGGGGCAATTTGTGGTATAAGACACGAGCTTTTACACTTTCACTACTTTGTTACTGAAGTTATATTTTTTACTAAATACTTGAAATTGAGGATAGTATTCAAGTCGACGCATTGCAACTAACGACTAGGTCCTAGTTATATGTCCACCAAAAATATTATCTACTATGTGCTCCAAGAGCACGGCTGCTTCAATGCATCTGAAACGTCAGTTCGTAAAATTGAGAAAAATAATATACCTACATATTTCACGTTTTAATCTGTTAAAAGTGTTATATTAAAGATTATCTATTATTATGTAAATTTCACTCCGCGTTAGTAATCTATGTATTACATTCTCTGCGAAGGCAAATATATCATTAAACCGGCATACTGTAGACCTAAAATTTTAGAACCTAGATTATATCTCGCTTCTAAAATTTTAGGTTTATTCTACAAAGAAACATTTGATCAGCGTGATAGAAAAGCGTTTATCTCCTTTTAGAAGGCCCAGCTGAGGGAGCTGTTTACACTTCTAACTACTAACAGCCAGTCGCTTTCGCGTATAACTTACACCGTACACTAACTCGATTACAGGATAAGTTTATGCCAACGTTGATGCGATGTACTACCGTTCCTGACTGTAAACACACCGTATGACAATTTTTCCCTGTTGAATATTTTAGTGCTTACCTTTTCCGCTCTATCATTTTCATTTGGGCCCTGTCTATTATTCCTGTTTAGGGTTCCGTTACGATGAAACCCATTATTATCCCTACGTTATCTCACTGCAGTACCTTAAACCAAAATTGTTGTTCTGAAATTTTTGCTTACGCGTGTTCCCAAACCAGGTTACTAAGACGCACTCTATGTAGTTTAACTATTTCGGTTTGAAGAGTTAGAACCCTTATTACAATAAACCTGGGCTTACAAATTTAAATAAATATATATACATATATTATAAGCATTATATCAAATAAATCGCCGACAAAGTTTGTATATTAGTTTGCCGTATATGGTTTTTTATCACATACTATTTTAGATTAATATATTTATATTTACTTATTTGATTACCATATTACCCATTTTTCTAGTCGGTTAAGAGGATTAAGATATCTTTTAAGCATAATACTTTTTTTATCAGTTAATTCTATCTTTATGATATATATATTGTCACATCTGAGATGTATAAATTTATATCGCTTAAAAAATGTATACCCGAGTTTTAGCTTATAATTGCCTTCTATGTCGATAACTACTACTACTACTACTAATCTATTCCGTGTTTTAAACCGTTCAAAGGTGTTTTTTTTAATATACTACCTCATGATCGACAAACATCGTACTATGACAGTCAAGATGGCATTATACATGTTCGTACATTTACGATACCACTAAAGACACATGCGTCTCGCACCTCAAACAGTGATAAGCCCTTTAAAACCACACGCGCTCACTGCTTATTACGAAACAGGGACGATTACTCTGCGGTTCCAGCCGTTATATTAGCGAAGCCCACGAAACCCGATAATGGCCTACATACGTTATTACCCAATTAAATTATCCACGACGGAATTCTATGCCCTATTGTTATTGACTTACGGCATCGTTTTGCACAGCAGCGAATATGATTAGAGCGGAACTTCTTGTATCTAAGATCGTTATGAATTTATTCGATGGAAACTTTGATCTATGTTGGATTGTAAATTTATCGAAAACACTACAAAATAAAGTACAGTAAATTGTGTTCGAATATAGCTTAAATATTCAAAAAGTGTTGCCTTTAATTTAAAACGTTAGCTCTAATTTTCGTTTTCCTCTTTCAAAATTTGTTATTCTATTTTTATATAAGGTACAGTGAACACAACAAGCAAGATTTTTGTTTATAAATATATTTATGGTTTATTTGGTATAGGATCACTTCATAATTATTTCAATTCAATAAATTCAACAGACTTAAATTTTCACATACTTGCGTTTTAAATACATTCAAAAACTGCCGCCTCCCGAGTAAGTTTGAAAGGAAATTGATGAAAATTCATTTAAAACAGCCTAACTGTGCATTTCCCAAAGATAGTCTTCAATATTACTCAATTAATCGAAGCCGCGGGAGGCTTTAATCCGCCGCGAAAAGTTCTCGCCGAATTTTGGGAAAATCTCGAAAGTAATATATATCTTGAAGAGGAAATAATGTCAGGCTTGTTGCTTAATCAAATCTCGTTCAGTTCGCCTGTGAGGGGAATTTCATTTGGGGAATTAACATTTCACTATCTTCATTTCACTGGCGTTTTAAGATTTTGCGAGATTCTCGCCTCGGTTCGCGAGGCTTGCGGGGGATGCGGTGTGATACGTACTTAAGAGTCTATGTGTATGTAGGCTTTATAACATCAACCTACCCACAAGTGCCCAAGTCTGTTTATTTACAAATATGGTAAAAATCGACGGGTTCTTCTAGAGATCGGTTTAATAATTAACAACCGAGTAAATTGCCAATTAATACTGATATACATACGAATCTTTTTGTATATGACGCTAGCAGGTTTGGAACACACACAGTCTATTTTTTTTCAAAATCAAATGCATATATTTATTTAATTTACGACTTATATTGTTTATAAAGAATCACAATTAATAGATAATATATGATGTTATTACATTTTTATTAAACTTTAAAACATTTAGCTCAGGTATTGCGATACTAACACAAACTCGCAAGCGAAAGACAAAATAAGAGATAACAGGAAATTCTTAATCTCTTCACAAACACTGTCTTTTATGCTCTAGCTACGTCATACTTGAGAATTTAAATATAAAACGTTCTAGGAACATGTTGAGAATTTAAAAAGAAAAATCCTTGTGTGCGCACCGTATCTTTGCCGTGCGCGGAATTGAATGAAGTACCGCAATTGGCCGAGTCGGACCGATATAAGGGTTACAGTTGCAACCACAAATAGGTACTTGTAGAATAGAATGAAACAGGATGGTCCAATTGTTAAACAGGAAACAAAATCCTATTAATGTCCCACTCACAGGTCTACTCTATCACAGGGATGGCGGACTATAAAAACTATCACCCCTAAATTTATTTATGTACAATTATATACTCATATCTTCGCAGTAAAATAAAGTTTAAAGTTAAAATTACTGATGGTAACAAAAACCGTGCATCTCCAAAACACGAAACGCTCAATAACCCTTTTTATTTTCGAAACAGATTGAACTGCAACCAGTATGTATATATGTGTAACATATGTTGTACTTGAAATGTCATATATTAAGTGTGAAAAACTAAACTTGTCAAACTGATTGTAAAAATAAGAGATAATATTATATACTACGGTCGTAAAACTGTTTAAGGCCTGACTGTTAATCACGAAAATTCTTTGTTCACAGCTGACAAAACCCCACCAGGATTCCCGTCGATATCTCCCCCCTCGACCACGCTGGTAGTAGAAGTTGGCCACATAGCCACTTTGCCTTGCCAAGCCACTGGTAGCCCCTCACCGAAGGTGCGATGGTTGTTCAACTCGCTGCCGCTAGATGTCGCCTCGAATCCAAGATATGCGTTGCTGAATGAAAAAATGCACGGTAAGTACTCTATTTGTCAACTAAGGCTTTAATACACAATCTTATCTTTCAAAAAGAAATTTATAAGACATAGGTACAGTTGTCGAACGTTCAAAGTGTTAAATATAACAAAATCTTCACGTACTTTGCACTCTTGTTTGTTAATAAAACGAAGAAACTGATAAGTTTAAATTATATTTTAGAAAAAAAATATATAACGTTATTGGACGGCGTTTGTAATCTAATGTTTAAATTTGTTGCTATTCCTGGGTTAAAATTCAAGGGAAACATAATAATTTTTAACGGTAAAGGCTTCAGAAGTTTCTTAAGCTAATTTACCTGTAAATAGAATCGAACAATGCCATATATGTCTAACTAGAGTTATTTTAGTACACATATTTTAAAATGAGAAAGCTCTGATTATTTTTACACCTTACGCTCTACAAATTTCTTTAGTATCTTACAAAAATGGTGCTATTAGCTCGTGTTAAAAAAACTTTTCCAAGATAATTAAATTTGCTGGTTTTTAAACGGTTCATCGCTTCGCTAATTAAATGTAATTAATCTGCGACGTTGATCAAACGTCGCGACGGAAACGCTAAAAAAAGGTCTTATATTAATCTTTTTGGAAAGGTGTCGCTCTTATTAAATTTTTCCATTTTTGTTAAATAGAAAATGTAAACGAATATTAATATTGTTTCATTAGCATTTCACATTTTCCTTAAAGAGACATTTTAATATTCGCGTGTACCCGAGACCTAGTAACTGGCTTGGTCAAAGGTTTGTTTTCTCTACTTCGCTTTGGTTAGATGGTTGAGAACGAATACGAAGTGGAGAGCTCTGCTTTCGTCTGGCATAACAGGCGAAGACGGCAAGAGTCATAGTAAGAGACTAAGAATCTCTTGTATAAGGAGGGCAAAGTTTGAGACGGTGGCAATTTGGACGTCTTTGTTAATAATTGTAAATCGGTTAACATTATGACTTTGATCAAGTATGCACAGTAGAGTCAGTCACAGAAATCTGTGTACCTTGTAGACGTACGGACAGCAGAGTGCTTAAGACGTTAGGTTACGCTTAAGGTTGGCACTTGGAGTTTTACTGAGTAGTTGCTAGTTCTGAGCGCCACGCTAATTTTTCTGGCTAGTGTGGATAAAGTGACGATATCTACAAAAAATGTTTAGAAAAGTGTTTCAGGCATACACGCACGTATGCTTTGCGGTCAAGGAGACTCCACGGAGAGACCAATGAAAATATTGTCCGTCGACGATTTATCTTCTTCAACCCTCGAGGTTTAAATGTTTATGCAACTTGTTATATTTATATATTGACTATTATATGGTAGTTGCATCTAAAGGAACGGGTTATTATATTCTATTCTTAAAAAAGGTTAATTATCTTGTTTCAAACTTAATTCGAATTGTCGATCTTACTCGCAAAAGAAAAAGGCAGCATTTCTAAATGGAATACTTGGCATAACGAGGATTTTACTGGAAAAGCATCCGCGAGGTTAGACACAAGCGCACCAAACAAATACAATTTAACCAGTCATTTCCCATGGCTCTCAATGAAATTGTCGGAGGGCGATTCTCAGATAAGTGATACGAGATTTACGTCAGATATCGATTTTTAATTGAAAAAAAAAATGATAAGGGCAGGTCTCAAACCTGAATCTATAGCGTTCCGTGCTGTAGCTCTAACAATTCCATCTACCGTGCCCTACAGTCATCGTCGAATTTTTGTAAATAGTGATACATGCACCTCTCGCGCAAGGTAACGTTACGTAACGTCAGCTCTTTAAACACATCTAACGGCTGTCCGTGTTCATCGTAATTTCTAATCTTATAATATGAGTCTACTTTGGCGCAATGTGATCTGTTTCTTGTTATTATTATTTGCTCGTAATTTTTGTCATCGCTTTTTCTCTCTTATATCACTCCTTTTAGAATTGCCTCCTAGGTTCCGATGGCGGGATTTAATAAAGTATCCGGGATGACGTCTTCCGATCCCACTGTCTTTATTAACTTTGTCCGTTTCGCTTCGGGACGTGATTCGCTTAGATTTGATAATATTCCTTGTAACAGTGAATAGTTTCGGTCGGGATTTTGTGATAATTCCCTTTTAAGCGAATTTAGAGTTTGTTCTTACTTTTAAGATTCTCTCACTCGTAACATCGACCGAACGATATTTTTAGTTTTTATTGTTAGTATCTCTTCAAAAACCTTGTTCGTTTTTTGGGTAAAATAGGTAGGTTGCTCGTAAAATATTTCGCCTACATCATTCATATATTTACCCATAAATTTAAATTTAATTATACAGTTACGCATTAAATTTAAAAATTACCTGCCCGAGAATTTACTGTTGCCAAAACCCAAATTTCGTAAGAACTTCTAAAACCTATTTATATTCTTATCACAAGTAAAATTAGTAATCTCTTATTTGTCATCACATCAAACTTTCCCGCCTTTTAATTCATTTAATTAAAAAGCGAATTCCCACTGCATGGGTGCTTTATTTAAATAATTCCCAAGTTCCGCAGCCAAAGTTTGTATGACGCAGCGAGATGACAAAATGTTAATTACGCCAATTTTGCGGGTCGCTTGTTCTCCATTGGGTAGGTATACGATATTCATTCTGAGATGCGGTTCTATTGAATTTCAGATCGGGTATTGAATTAATTGCGCCGTACTTCTTGGCGAATTAGCTATTTGCCTTATAATGTGATTGATAGCGAGTTTGTGTGCTAAAGTTCGTTATTTCGTTATAGATTCTGATTATTTCATTCTTTGAATTCGTGCCACTGATTCATAGGCCGTCAGTTATAGTCGTTGCTTGGTAATTACAATTTTTTTGTTGAAAAAATTCGACGATGAGGTGTAGGACTCGGTAGCTCAATTGGTAAGAGCAACAGTTCTACGCTGACGATGCCGCTTAAAGTCCTGCCCGAGTCTTATATTTTTTAGTTTATGTTTTATTTACAACAACACTTAGTCCAAAGAATGCTTGAGGGCAGCTATCTTTATTCTAATTCAAATGTATTTGTTGTCTGTGATAATTTATTATCTTAAACCTGTTCCGTATTTTGGTTCGTTATTTCGCACTCTGCTTTAGTAGATTTAAAATCATTCGAAGCAAAGTAAAAGGTACAACTTTTTTTAATCGCATTAATATTAATTTATTCGCCCGGATTATTTCTTTGCTCTCGCCTTCGATGTTCCGGTTACTGGAACTGGAGGTGCGATGTTTTGACAAGTTTTTCGCTTCGTTAATAGGAATCACAATGTTGAGCTTAAGAACTGTTTTTGAATGGATTTAACGATTTTTTTTTAAATTTTATTTAAGCTGTTTTTGTTTTAATATTACTTAACAATCATTTGCAACAATTAATATCTGATTGAGATTTCTTTGGCTCTTAAAAATTATTAGGGTATATTTAATTTCTACCCTGTTCAGTTCCCGTAGGCCTACTATAAATTTTATGAATGATGTACTTACAGTGGTTACATAGTTCACTTTCAAACTTGTATGTAAAGATCAAGACAAACAATATTGTTCGTTTTAATATATTTAACTTTTTTTTAAAACATAATATATATATTATATACATACTATTGAAATTGATTATACGTTTCTTGATACAAATACTCATAATAGCAATATCAAAAATACATAAAAACGATATTGTGATACACTTCCGCTGAAAACTACTGAAGCAACTCGTTTAAAATAATACTAACATATAAAGCGTTGCTCTGTGAAATAGATTGTTATATTTTTATTAGCTTGTGCGTGTTTGTACTTAAAATTCAATTCAAAGAGACTTAGTTTTTTTTTTAATATAAATAAAACATACTTTTTTATCACTTCAAATTCAGCATCCGAAACGCCGGGCCGTAATTAAAATAAATGTTAAATAAGTATAACTCATTTAAACCGCGTTTTAAACTGTTAAAGTTTTTTATTTAAATGTGTACTACTCGCGTTAACTACAGTCAGTATAGACTTAGTTTTAACTATCGTAATAATAAAACATTTCTTGACTATTATTATTGATGTTTGATATTTACGTATTAGCGGTAAATGCGTCATACTCAAGTATTGCTAATGTAAAAATCTCGTTAATGCGAAGACCTGGGTTTGAATCGGTCTGGCATAGCACAGATAAGAACTTCGTAATTAAGTAAAATATAAAAAGAAAGAAAAAAAAATTCTGTCAGTCTATGAATTTTCACTAAAATATTACCGCGAATCGCTAGCATAAATATCTACTTTTAAGCCATAAATAAAACCGTAATAAAATAACTGCATGATTGTATAAAGAAGAGATAGTTGGGCTTAAAAAGCCGTAGCAATATATCAAGCAAGATATACAGCCTCCCTAATGTTGCGCGTAATAACTTTTATATGGAATTATTATTTTATCGCCCATTATTGCCGGCGTGTGTAAATTAGAAATGAAACAGAAGGCTTTACGATCTTGCGTTGTTTTCATATCATTTTGAAAATAGACAAATTTGCCGTTTGAACTGTAACGTGTTTATTTCATTAAGCATTGTAAACAGATGTAAAGACCATACATGTTTGATTCGGATATGCTAGATCAGCAAAGCTAATTTAATGGAATTTTCTCAATAATTCTTTTTTTAATTTATATTTAAGCTACCCTGTATTTGAAAAATGTATAAATATGAAACATTTAAATATTCAAGATCTAATTAAATTTTAATACATGCATTAGGAATTTCCATGATTAAATAGAGTGCGAGTGTATTTTATTATGTACTACTAGCTGTACCTGCGACTTCATCCGTGTAGAATAGTTATAACTGTTACCCACGATGTCGTTTTTGTAAGTTAATGTAAAAATAGACATATGTGGACATTTTTAATTAGACCCAGTAGTTCCTGAAATTAGCTCGTTTTAAAACAGCTTTATATAGTATACATATGTTTGTCTCTTCAATGCTTAGACCGCCTTTGTTATATCCTGTCCATAATAAAATAATCTGATAGGAACTGGACTT